ACTCAAGTTTTATGGGTTTTTAATAATTCTTTCATCTTACAAATCCATTAAGCTTTATCTTTTACGGCTGTTTGAAAAAAAACATTTAGGCAAAATAGCTAAACTACATATGCATCTGATGAAATAACTTAATCTGGCAAATAACTAAATTAAATTTTAAATTTAACATGTATTACGAAGCTAAATAATAAATAAATCTATATGACAAGTAAATATTTCTAAAATAATCCCTATTAAAATAAATAGATAAATAATTATTTTCTTAAAATTTTATAATTTATTTTATCTTTTTTAATGATTTTTAATAATTGTTTTAAATTTTTAGTAATTCAACTTTTAACTTAAAATTAAAGGATTTTGATTTTTTAATTTAATGACGCAGTTAACCTCAACAATTTTTAAAATCACATTTGGTTAATTAGGAACTACACGTTCCCATTTAATTATAGGTAGTATTTACTAGAGATGTGCGAGACTCTTGGTCTTGGTCTTGGAACCAAGACTTTTCTTGGTTTTTTTCGGTCTTGGTCTTGGGGTATTTGTTTTGGTCTTGTCTTGGTTTTATTTTTTGGTCTTGATTTTTTGGCCTCTTTGGATCTACTGATTGGCCTTCCAAAATCCTCAAAATTTTCGCCTGCGGCGCTTAAAAATTGAATTTTTTTGGCCTACCGCCTTCTAAAATTCATAAAATTTTCGCCTGCGGCGCAGGAAAAGGAAGATTTTTGGCTTCTTGGCCTTAATAATTCCAAAAATTTTCGCCTGCGGCTCTAGAAAAGGAAGAATTCTGGCTTCTTAGCCTTCCAACATTTTCGAAATTTTCGCCTGCTAATATCCCCCTTAACTAAATAATCCACCCAAATCCTCTTAAATAATATATCTCATTGATTTTCCACCCGGATAAATTCACCAAAATTCTTTGAATTTCGGATAAATTCTTTGAATTTCGCATAGATTTTTCGAAATTATAGGTGATTGTGCTGAAGTTGGCTGTGATCGTGTCAAAATAACAAAAAATAAACCAAAAATTTGACCTATGGCACCTAAAAATTGTCTCGAGTTTTGTATTATTTTTGGTCTTGAGTCTTGGAGTTTTGGTCTTGGTCTTGAGTCTTGATCTTGGAAAAATTTTTGTCTTGGGTCTTGAGTCTTGAGTCTTGGAAAAATTTCGGTCTCGCACATCTCTAGTATTTACATTCGAATTTTCGTAAATTTAAAGCTTAATCTGATCTTGCTGAAAAACTTTTCGATTGATAAGTTTAAAAAAGAAATTTTAGAAAGAAATTTTGGTTATCTTTAAAATTTTCTTTCATTCAAATAATCAATGTTAAAATTTTAGCGTTGGCGAACATTTTATTATTTATACCCTTTTTTATTCTTTATTTGCTTAAGATTATTATTAGATGCGAAAAAGGCGAGGGCTCTTACTAAACTATCGAGAAAAATTGTTTGTTAACAAAAGCTTTCATTTATTTTTCGTCGATTTGGATTGCTTATTGGGAAATATGAACTTCGATAATTCGGTGTTCATAACTTATTTTTGCAGGGTTAAATTTCAAATAATGTCCTAAAATCCCCGCTATTTAGTACCAAAAAAATGAAAGTGAAAATGAGACTAAAGAACAATTTTCAGAAAATATAAAAATTTACACGTGTAAATATATTTAAATACAGGGTGCGGCAAATTGGCGGCCGCTTTTCTTTTTGCTATAACTTTTTTAATTTTTAATGAAAATACTTAATTCTTTTTTTCCTGGATTCCCAGCACTCTGAGAATTTTTTTGATATGAAAATTGTTTTTAAATTTCATAGTTTAGTCAGTTTAATCTTTCCTCAAAGTTCGAGCAAAAATTTTCGGATAAAAGTCGGTCTGGATTCAAGGCTATGATTTTAATATCGGAAATGTTTATATCGTTCGAATCAGCTTTTCAATCTGATTCGAATGACATCAAAATTTTTGGGCTACGATAAAAATCGAATGAGCTACAATCCTTTGAATGATAAAATAAAATAATTATGGTAAAAATAAAATTTTTTAGTGAAATTTTCAAAAATCAAATTATAAGCTTTTTCGATGCGCCTGAACGAGACGAGTCGATTGGTACTAAAATCATCGAGATTGGATGATTTTTGACGAAGTTATGATCAATTAAAATTTGACATGAAAAAATGTTTTTTGATGATTTTGAATGTTTGGACCGGCTTATCTTTACCATCTGTGAACCAAATTTCTATTTTCTGGTACCAAAAAAATTCTCAGAGTGCTGGGAATCCAGTAAAAAAAGAATTAAGTATTTTCATTAAAAATTAAAAAAGTTATAGCAAAAAGAAAAGCGGCCGCCAATTTGCCGCACCCTGTATATTTATTTATAGTGAATGATTTGCATAATATTTATTGTGAATAACTTTTTATAATTTCATTTTTTGACTTTTTTGTTTCATAACCGAAATTAATGGATCCTTCAAAATTTATCTGTTTCCTAATTTTATTTATAATGTTAATACATATTAGCTTCATTATATTATTTAAATTATAACGAACGTGATTAATTTTATATTTCAAATGATCTAGAGCAGTTTAATTATTAAATTTTAAAGGATTTAAATAAGTTGCGCTATTTTCAGGAATCGCAAAGAAATTTTAGAAATTTTTTTTTCAAAAAATCTTTTTTTTTCAGGAATCGCACAAGGATGTGTGCAAACTCTAAGAAATTCGGATTATTAGCTAATTGTGTAGATTTTGCTCTTTAAGGGTTTTTATCTTCATTTTTCCTTAAATATAATCACATTCTTTTGTCTTTTTTATATATAATTTTTCTTATAATTTTTCTGGCAAATTTATTTCATTTTCAAAAATTTTTCAGTTATTTTTGAGTTATAATTTTATTAAAATGCATTTATTTTTATTGTTTTTTATTATCCATTGTAAGTGTGCATGTTTGTAGTATGTACCTTTTGGTGTTCGTTATAAATAAAATTAAAAAATAAATAAATGAGCCGCGGTCCCTAGAAAATCTTCAAAGTATATTATGAAGATTTTCAATTTAATTTACATTATGTCAATATTTGTATGTTCATTTGTGTGTTGATTCTTCTAGTAGAATATAGTACGTTTAAGTATACGTTAATGATCTAAAGAGAAAGGAAATTGAATGACTTTTTTAAAATTATGTAACGTGGTTTAGCTAAAATAAATAAAAAGAATTTTCTTATAAAGCTTAAAGATTAATTATTAAATTATTTTTTTTCATAATATGTAGCAATTAATGGATCTCTCAAAATTTATTTGTTGTTTAATTTTATTCATAATCCTAATATTAACTGCATTATTTTATTTAATTTATAACCAACATGATCAATTTTATATTCTCAAATCATCTAAATCGGTAACTTATCAAATATTTTTTAGGTTAGGTTAAGCTTCTTGCGCATATCTTGAGTGCGGCAAAAAATCAAGTTCGGATATCCTCTTAGGGTACAAGATTTCTAAACCCTTATGAATTGATCCCGCGAGTTTTATGAAATTTTGTTTGTAATAAAATACCCTGGATTTTATGAGGGATTTATTAGGATCATCGTAAGTCTCCGACCAATAGTTTAAAAGATACCACAAATTATAATTTCCAATTTCCAATTAAAAAATTAATTAAGATATCAAGTAAAAAGCAGAAAATGCCCCCAATTCTGGTTTGGAATAAATGTATTCGAGTAACAAGTCAAGGAATTGGTTATCCAGATTATCCGGTGATCAATTCAACCATTAAATGTCCGTTCAATTGTACTTTTACTACCGATAGAAAATTGTATGTTTGGATTTAAATAAAAAATACGGCCGAGCCCATCACAGAAAATAGCAAAGATAGGATAGATTTGATCTTTTTAAAAAACCTTCCAACCACTGCCTAATAGTATTAATTTTGCTTTATCTGCAAGGCTGGGAGGAAATTGTGTCCTTTCTTTGAAACGGAATAAAACCTTATGGGTAAATCCGGAGGAAGAAAATCTCATTTATCTGAGATGAAATAAATACAATTTTATATTATAATTTTATAAAAAGAACCCTCCTAAGACCCCCTATTGTGGAGCTCTTCCACGCTGAAAAAATCTAATAAAAGCTTTAGACAAGACTTAAGACCAAGAGTCTTGCCCATCTCTAGTGATTACTAATAAATTTGATTTTATTAAGCGAGACAAATGCATCTACAACGATTTTCTTGCTCCATACATTCTGTGCTATAAATTCATGGCCTCAAAATCGTAGAGAAGATCAAAATTATATGATGTTTACAGTTGAATCTCCAATACAAACCACTTTAAAATATTATGACAGAAAATTTCTAACAGACAAATTTTTTAATAGTACAGCAACTTATCGTTTAGATAGTTCTGTATTTATGCCTTATGATGCTTTAACCAGGATTACTCCAACTACTCCAAAAGAATATATTTGGGATCAAAAGGAGGTAAAGAGATTTAAAATACAAACGGTGAAGAAAATTTATTTATGGTGTATTATTAGAGGGAATCGCCTAGGTATCTACTCCACGTTTGATTAATCAAAATTTAAATAAAACAGAAAAAAATTACATAATTGTGACTCAAATAGGAAGTGTTTTAAATTAAAGGTTCTGGCAACAGTTAAAAACAAAACAAAATTAGCTTTCCAAGCAATATCTCATTGTAATTCTGAATCTGGTCGAGATCTTATTTCAAAAAAACTACAAAAATTAATGGATTTGGAGGTTGTTGGTGTGTGTTATGGTAGAAGAGGTTGCGATGATGCATGTTATAACCGTAGTTTAGGTAAACCTGAATTTGATTAAAAAAAGCAACAAGGCATTAGCTGCCGAATTTACAGGCCAAATTTATCTCTATTGAATGATCCCAAAATGTATTCATACATATAGGGTCTAACTCTAAATATTATCATAAGTGTAATATCCAAATTCAAGCTAGAATTTGAACGTAAACTTAAGTATAATAAATAATTTTTAGAAACCCACATGTTCTATTTGGCATTGGAGAATAATATTTGTCACAATTATGTAACAGAAAAATTTTGGAATTCGTTAAGATCACTTACTGTACCTGTAGTTTTTAGTAGATCTGTTTTTGAAGGAATGGATGTTCCTTCTAGTGCATTTATTGCTTTGGATGATTTTAAATCAGTGAATGAATTTGTTGCGCATCTAAAGGCTTTGCAAAATGATACGGAAAGATATTTAAAGTAAATTAAAAAAATTTGAGCACTGTCTGATAAAATTCAATCTTAGAAAAACTACCGGTTTCTAGTATCGAAAAATGGACAGGGGTTAGAGTAGTGAAAATACCTAACGAGTCCTCGTGTAGTTCGATTATTAAGATAAAGATTTTTTAAGAGCTTGATCTTGTTAGCAAATGGCTCGGAAAAGTCTTGATGTATAGGAGCTTCATAAAGTTTTCCTAATAGTGTATTTGTCTCCGATACCTCTCACAAAAATATAGAAATATAACTAATATGGGGAGCATTAATTTATTCAGCTTTGTATAGATTATTTAAAATACAGACACTTTGAATGGACAAAAACTTACACAAAAAGAAGATTTGGCCACAATTATTCTCCAATATGCAAAATATGTGAATATGCTACTAAACAATTTGAGGAAAAATCAAAAAATATAATTGATTTAAATAAATTTTGGAATGATAAGGACTGTAACAAATTTAATGTTGAAAAATTTTTGAAAGATGCATAAATAATAAGTTTAAAAATTAGTTTTCGAGTAAATTTTGTAAAGGCGTAGCCCAAAAAAATTTTTGTAAGGCGTAGCCAAAAAAATTCGCTTTTTTTTTGCTCAATTGATATGTGATAAAATTTAACAAATCTAATTACATTTTAAACGAAAAAATTTTTTGAAAACCTCAGTTATCCTCAAACCTTGGACATCGCCTCATATTTGACCGTCAACCTCGGCTTTTTCAATCTCGGTGATCTTCGGTCTCGGTTTTTTCGAAAAACCTCGATCTCGCGCAACACTAGTTTTATACATAATTTTTAAAATTATATTAAATTTACATGATTATTTAAATCAAAATTTTTTTATAAATTTTATAATTATTAATCCCATGTCCCTTTCAACATTGCAAAATATTTCTCAGTATGTTGCTGTGCGACAGTTGGAGTAATTTTATTTATTGTAGTACTCTTCTCCAGAGATTTATTTATTTTAGGAGCACAACAAAATATTTGGTTAAAAATTTTGAAGAAATTCTTTCTTAGAGTTTTATGAAAACTAAAAAGATTTGATTTAATAATGGAATAAAAAATATTTGTAGCTTACAAAATTGTTGTCGAAATTATTAAAAAGTTAATAAACGCAATAAAAATGTTGTTCAATTGAGACTAAAATTATTTAAATTATTATTTTTGCTTGTTATATAGTATTTCTGATTTATTTTTTCTCAAGTATCTATGCAGGAATACTTAACTAATAAAACCGCATGCATATTTTTTAAGCCCCATCAAATTCTCAAAATAGAATAATGACACTCTATATTTAGATCCCTAATTTTATCATACATATTATAAGATCTAGTCTCTGATTGCCTGATCTAACTTCAAATCCAACTTTACAGGCAAAAAACCTTCCGCTTTGTATATACTGTTATTCGTGTGCTTGTTGACCTAAGCAACGCTCAGATCATCTATATATCGTTACGAGAGTCATTCATTATTTATTAATAAACTAACAATTATTTCACTTGTAAAGTCATCTGCTTCAAAGATAATTGAGTAAAATGTTTGCGAGAATGCTGTCGAAACACCCGCAATGAAATATGCAAGAATTGTTGGCGCCAATTGTAATGCGCTTCGCATGTTTTCCAAATACTTTAAAAATTAAATGTAAATTAGAAAAATTTTTTGTCATCGAAAATTCAATTATATATTTACTCAATTTTATTTTCTCAAACTCCTCGAATTAGGTATCTCCACATTAAGTCCTACTCACCTATTGGATTGATGAAATTCTCCTCCCCGAAACCCGACTTATTCCATGAAACTTTTCACCTTTTAATCCCTGGATATACCTCTTAATCTCAAATCAATTTTCTGCGCCGTATCATAAATATACACATTGATGTCCGACAAAAATTTTTGAATATACGGAACCGATATCCTAACCAAATCCTCAATAAACTTTATAATTTACCTGATAACGCTTTTTCAGCTTATATTCAGATGTTCTCCTATGAACATTTATTACAACAACAGGTTTACCTCCAATTATAGATAGTTGACTTGTATTTGAAAATCCATTTAATTTATTCTTGTTGTACTTCCATATTACTCCAATAAACTAAAATTTCCTTATTATTCATTTAATATTAGTAATTTATTTGTTACAATAATTTCAAATAATCCTATTAAAGCAAGCAATACAGCAATTATTGCACTAGATAATGTCACATTTTGAGAAGATAAATTATCATTTGCTTCATCTTCTTCATTATGAATAAAGTTTAATACTGACATAATTAACTTAATTAAAGATGGAATTATATAAAAATTAAAAAAATGAACAAGGGATATTCACAAAAATGGGAATTACCGACATTTTTTGGGCCGGGAATCCCTAATCCAAGAATCGGGAATTTAATTTTATATCTGCTATATCCCTGTATAAATAAGGCATGAGAGTGGTTCAGGATCATCGCCTATTTTGGAATTGTCTTATAACCAGTAAAATTTTTTCTGATTTATCCACACATGAATAACCTCAATATTTAACATAAAATATCCGGAAAAATTAAAAAAAATCCCTACAAAAATAAAAATCCATGAGGCCGTAAATATTCTTCCTTTCTCAGTTTCATAACATTTTATAAAAACTGTGGCACAAATTCGTTCAATAATAATTAGATGACAAAATATCATGCGAGAAAATATGGGAAGTTGTACGAGAAATTTTATTGGGATAAATCTTTAAATTATTAATTTTCTAAATTTAAATAATTTTTAAAAATACCTAAATTCAGTCTGAAACCAAAAAATGTCCCCCGTAAAATATTTTATTGGACCAACGAAGAATAGCCTGATTAATGCTTCAAATATTATTAATCCGCTTTGTGATATTAAAATAAATTTGAGATTTTGATGGAGTAGCTTAAATATATTTAATTAGAATTTTATATGTAGTTGAAGATTTTTGTTAATATTATGATTTTGTTAAACTTAAAAATCATTTCTACGGTAATTATTCACTTTGGATCTACTAATCAGTGAATTCATTTTCTCATATCTCAGTGATCATAAGCTAAACTGGCGATTTGTTGTTTAAATTATACCGAAGGTTTTCTGTTAACTAATCAAATTTTTTAAAATCTGATTTTCCGGTCTGAGTTTTTAAGTTAACAATTTTGTTTTAATGGAATCTTAAAAATTCATTTTCAATGACCTTCGATGTCTAAAATGCAGGGCTTCGATTTCTGCGGATTTTTCCTCATTTTGTGGTTTTTTGATAGGGCGATGAGGATTATTTTTAAAAATGCGGATTTGCGGATTTTTGTGGTCTTTTGAAGATTATGAGGATTTTTTGTATTTTCTTGTAGTTTTTAGGATAAAATGTCATTTTTTTTCTTCATGGCCTTCCAAAATCCGCAAAATTTTCGCCTGCGGCGCTGAAAAAAGGCGATTTTTGGCTTCTTGGCCTTCCAAAATCCGCAAAATTTTTGCCTGCGGCGCTGAAAATGTATGAAATTTAGTTTCTTGAGCTCCAAAATTTAAAAAATTTTCGCCTGCGGCGCTAAAAAGTTAGTTTTTTTGGCCTACAGCCATCTAAAATTCTCAAAATTTTCGCCTGCGGCACTGAAAATAAAAATTGTTGGCGCCGAAGGCGCCAACAATTTTGCATAGAAAAAGTTCCCCCCCCCCTTGGCCCCCCCCATCCCCCGGAAAAAATCCTGGCTACAGGCCTGGCTAAGTCAACATAATTTTTCCTTTAATTGTTTGGATTTTAATAAAATAGTCATTAGTAGGAAAAAATTGCTCAATTCAATTGTTGGAGTCAAAAATATAACGTATAAAGTGATTTTAATTCAACTTTTGTGTTTGATAATTTTTTGCGGATTTTTCATATCAAATGCGGATTTTTATGATCAAAATTGCGGATTTTTAAAAATTCGAGATCGAAGCCCTGCTAAAATGTGATATAACTTTATTTTAGGTTCTTGGCTTTAAAGCTTTTCAACAATACTAATAAAATTTCAAAACATAATTATTTAAACCTACACTAGTACAATATAGAAGTCTTATACAAATTATTCCAAAAGGTATATTAATAAATTGAACAAAATATTCTATTGAAATAAGTAGCCAAGCAATTATACGTTGTTCTGAAGTAAAAAGTTCTAGTTTGGCAAACTCTTCAGAATCAAGTCCCAAATAATTTATTTCAAATGGTGTTACATTATGCATTGTTTTTATTTATTTAGTATTAATATATTCAATAGAGGAAAATATTAATTTAAATTTTATGTTTAAATTTATTCAATTAGATTTATTTAATTAAATTTGGCCCAATAAATTTAGTTAAAATTCATTTTTAAACAAATTTTAGTTTAAATTTATTTTCTAATAAATTCCAAAAAATTCCTAAATATATTTTTTCGCAGAATTAAAACTATAAATAATGGAAAATGAATAATTTTAAAGAATTTTTGGCATTGTATTATCCTGTTTCCGTGAAAAATTTTATATTTTAATAAAATGTAAGTAACAAAGAATATAAAAAATGTTAATTAAATAAAAGAATAAAAAATAAAAATTAAAATGGGAAATTGAATTGAAGAAAATAGAAAAAATTTTAGGCGAGAACGTTACTTCTTATATAAAGGCTAGCCAACGGGAATGATTTTATTTAACGAATATACATATTTGAAACAAAAAATTAATTCAGTTACATCCATCGGGATTAGGCTTGCTCGAGAACTCCAAATTAAATAAATTTATTATGCATTTATTGTACATAAATTTATTATACAAAATAAATTTATTATACAACAGAGCGAAAAGACAATCTTTTACAAGACAAAATGTTTCGAAAAATAGTATCTGAATTGAAATTATCTTGTAATACAACGCACAATAAATTTGAATTAACAAAATTAAGATAAAGGAACAGTTTATAATATCTTTCCAAATTTTTAGCATTTAATAAAAATAATTAGAAATGCTGGTTTTATTGAATTATTTA